TCACAACATTTCTTTTTGTTTGTTGCCTTTTTGCTCCTGCAGGGTTTCTTGTCGGTCTTTTGTTGCGTACGTTCTGTGGTGAGCCACTTATCAACGCACCCACGCTTCTGAGGCTGCCGCTGTGCCGCACAATGTGCATGATCGCAAGCTTCAGCTGCACCGTGGGAGTGTCGTACGCTTCCAAAAACCTGTTCGCCGAGTGCTCCCCGACTTCTTGGGATGTTTCGTCGTGGTCGGCGAGGACGATCAAGGCCGATATTTGGTGCGTAGTGGCCTTGGCTCAATCTCGGAGCCACTGGCACATAAAGACGCAGCAGTCGCCGCCATGGCCGGCACGCCCATTCCAACAACCAGCGCCGGATCCGACGACCCCGAGTTCAAACCCGTAAGATGCAATGAATTCGCAGACCTGGCGTGAATCACGTATAGTGTATATTGTATGTGCACGTAGTGTGCTCAAAAAGTATAGCCACTTCAAGCTGTCAAAGGTGCCGAAAGAGCGAAGCGCTTTTAGAACAACTGCCGCTTTTTCCTGAAGCATGCGAGAAATATTTCGCATCTTCAGAAATGAGGTCAACATAAATCTCCCCTCTCATAAACTTAAAAACACTGCTTCGGTACGTGTCGTCGTTTTGTTATCGCGCTATAACTATCGTCGACCGATGCAGTCGCACTATTTGTGGTTGTATCTGGAAACCAGAGTTTCAGAACCACAGATATTGATCTGCCGCGAGGCTCAGACCTGGAATAGCTCCGGTATTAAAAAACATCCAACCTTATTCGCTACCACGTGAGCCAACGTAATTTGGAAATTTTCTTGCCATAAAGACATCTAGAAGACAGTCATGCGCCTTCGTAAATATTTTCCTCTCAGCAGCAAGAGTCATTCACTGGAAAACGGTCTAGCAGGTATGACGTCTACTGAGCGTTTCTCCGACTCCAGCAAATTCTAATAAATGAAACAACATGAGCAGGGATATTGTACAAATTTTCGTCGAAAGCTAGGTGACACTCAAGCAGAAGCCACTTGCAAAACTTAACAGACTATTAGGTGGTTGTGCTATGGGCAACTTTAGAATAAAGTTGTGGTATAACCACTTCACTGATGACTGCTTATCAGTGAACTACGAACCGCTTTCAGCCAGAACGTCACTGAGCATGCATAGACTTCGGTCATGTCCCACAGTCACATCGCAGTCCTGGGAACTTGAGGGTAAGAAGGGGTTAATTTTTAGATTATTGCAATAAATCATGAATAAATCTTAATTCAATGTCCTTTTCAATGTTTCTGCATGAAGCGTTCCCATGAACTTTGTACTAGAATAGCTAACAATTAGTGTAACGAACTGCGTCTGTAAAACAATCGTGTTATTCATCAGGCTCCCTACATCAGGCTGCATGCGACTTGTAAATGTTTTTAAAGCGGAAAATTCTGCTGACAGGAACCCGGCTTGAGTCGAAAGGAGATATTCGCATCGTGATGACGTGGCCTATCACCAGGTTCCAACGGTAGTGCTTCCTACAATGGTGGGAGCTCCAGAAGTAAATGATTATGAGCTCCGACTTAAGCAAAGTGCATTTCAAGTCGCCTTATTATGACGTACTTGGCGATTGTATTGATTACTGCTTTTAGTCATGGATGGCACTTTTGGAACTACGTGTCGGCCAATGGTAATGTCGTCCGCGTGGATTGCATGGCCAACACCGAGGATCTGGGCCAGCAGCCGAGGAGCCATGCACGCACGAGGTTAAACAATGTTAACGAACAGCTTGGCCATGTCCGAAGTAATATGAGATGCATCGAACAGGACCTTTGTGGTCTCAATATTTCAGTGCATTAGTGATCAAGTAATAGTTTCAAGTTACGCAGTGATATTCTGCACAATGGCGAGGGATAAGGTTGTCCTCAAAATGTACGATCGCCCAATGCAGACTTAGTCTGATGTGTGTTCTAGTTTAGAAGTTAGACGAAGGTACCGAGACATCCTCTGGAGAGCTTTTTTTAGCTTGCATTGAATGATGTTAAGATCGTTCGTCGTATTGCGCACCGTTTTGCAAAACCATTCTTCCTCTGGAGGAAAACCTGCCATGCTCACAACTTTCGAAGCAGAAGTGTCGTTCATTTGTATTACCACACGCATACAGTAATAAGGCGCGCTGCACGACGCAAACCCGCCATCCCGCAAGCGGAAGCCTTTTGAGCCCTCCAAAGCGTTGTTTGCCTGTAGCATTCGACGTAGTTTTAGCCGTCATAGCTGCAGTTTGCCTTATTAGCGAGCAGGCAATACTGCACTGTTTCAAATATATGTTCCGTATTCTATTTTGATCATACATGTGAAGACATACGAAAATGCGGCACGTTAGCGAAACGAAGCAAAGAGAATTGGGTGGAGCATGCCTCCTCACGAGGCACACGCTCGGATCATGGAACGAGACCAAGTCTTGTTTGTTTTTTTTTAACTTACTCGTTCACTATAAGGCCTCGAGTGATGTGTATAAGTGAGACATTATTTTCGTGCTTTCATCAGGATGCCGAGACGCCAGCGACGCCTGCAGCCAGCTCGACCATGTGCTCCGGCTCTAGGCCCCCTGCAAACAACGCCGCACTGGCACAGGTTTGCACTACGAGCCTCTGGTCCCGGGACTCCATGGTGCCGTGGAAGCTGCCGGCGCAACAGCCGTGCACCGCCCTCGAAGAATTCGCGGAGAACGCCATGCCGACCAGTAGCAGCGTCCCGACTACTGCCGAGGCGTCGGCGGTGACAGGCGGCGGCCACCCGGCGGACGTCACCGCAGTGGCAGTTAGTCCCAAATCCAGCCAACCGAGACGCCTGCCGCTGATCGAGGAAAAACCCGACGAGAACAAGGGTGTGCCACTGACGCCGAAGAAGTCCAAAGCCACCAAACGAGACGGCTCGTTGAAGAAGGGCGCGCAAATGCGAGCACCTTCGAGCGCGTCCACGCCGTCGAGCGTGCCCAAACGCAGTGGCAGGAAACGTGGCGGCCAACCTCGGGAACCCGATTGATGGAACATGATTGACAGAGACTTGTTAAGAAAAGCATGTGCTTGTGTATGTGCGTCTGTCATCGACTTTGACGTCGCGTTGCAAACTGTGTTTTTTCTGTAATTTCGTATAGCGTTTTCCCACCTCGTACGAAACTGCACGCACTATCGCGAGGGTGAGCTTGTTTTAGCGTAGTGAACTGCAAGACACAAGCGTGACTGCCACGTTGTGCCATAAATTTCAATTTTTTTAATGATAAAGTGCTCAGTCTGCGCGCCTTAAAATAAAACTAATAAGGACAACCTATCGCTCTGCCTGAGTACATGCCCTACTGGGTATCGTTAATTATTTGTTCAGAGTCGAGCTGTGTTCATTACTTCTCGTCACAGTGCGCGCACGTTACGTAGAAGCTAGGACACTGTTTCAACACTCGTGCTACACCATGCGCAGGATGAGAAGATAAAACATTCACGGTGCACTCGAAATCACATTTTCGTGAAGCTGCCTACACACGCTTGTACGCACACGCACACACAATTCTATGAGAGTGACACACTGAGCACTTGATTTTTTTCCAATGTCTTTGCAAATGGTAGCTGCTTTGCAATTATATCGTCGTTATGTGCATGCGTTTGGTCTTTTGTAAATGCTATGTTGGCATAATAAAAGAGCACGGAGCTAGAATTATTCAATCCAGAAAACGCTCTCTGTGGGCTCAAAAATATTTGGAGGTGATGGTGGCCCGTTGGTGCCTATTCCCATATTTCTCGATATCACCGACAAACTTGACCGAAACTGTTAACGTTGGATCGGAAACTTTTGATGCGGAAGATTTTACGCCGGAGTTCAAGATTTTATTAACGTGTACGTGTCACGTAAATAACGCCCAAACAACTGCATAGATCCTATATGAAAGTCAAAGGTCAGTCAACGGGCGTCAAACCCACGATCTCGCGGTTCATGACAAGTTATCTCGTGGTCAGTTTGAACGGTTTGAAAAATACTCAAATGAGTTTTTATGTGGCAATTACCTACATGTTTAACCCAGACTTGATATAAATAATCAACATTGGATTGCTAAATAGATAGCAATAGATTTTCAGGTACTTGAAAAGCAGTGCATCTAGCACGACGCTTAGAAGACGCGTACAACATACAGGGGCAAGCAATTCACTTATATATACATAAAAAAGGAATGAGTACATCGTGATGCCTTTCCTACTTTTTATTACTACAACGCATCCACATCAAGCTCGTGTGACATCAGGGGAAAAAATGCGTTAGTGCAAACGAGACCTTTGCGCATTCTCTTCTTAAATGTTATAGCACGGCTTCCATTCAGGTCGGATGCCGCAGTCACGCCGCAACGAAACAAACGTCTGTGCCTGGAACGTGGGTCATTTCGAACTAGAGTAGAGGAGGACCTGAAAACTGTGGCTCAATCTATACGCCGGGGGAAACTGCCCTATAATGCCCACTGCGAGTGCCGCTACCAGCTGCCCAATACGCCGGAATTCTTTTTACCTACTAGCCAGGGAAGGGTGCAGCACTACGTGGCCGAAAAAGCAACGACATGCGCAGCTACTCTATTAGTTCATGCTTTTGCTGGTGATGGCGATTGCTTTGCCTAAGTGAGTTCCAACGTATGTGTTCTAAGAACACTCACTTGTGCAATTTATAAGTTGTGACGCCTGGCGCAATTCCATGCATCTGACACGTAATACTACAAGTGTTGTAGAGACTTTTTGTAAAGTGTTTATTTTTCAAAGGAGTTTGAAGCAGTTGTGTGGCTCTGCGGTAGCACGCATGCTCACCACGGGGATAGCCGCCGACTTGAAATTTCTGCGAAACTAGTTATTAATCATTATTACGTTTAAGCTGTGACCAACTGATACAGAATGAACTCTACATGAAAAATAAGTAAAGCTAACGAGTGCGTTTGCTAGTGCAACATGGCCCAAGCCCCTTTTATGGTTAATCTTTTGCGTAGTCTTTTTATAGGTATCCCGCAGTTGAGGCTTGTCTGTACACTGATGGGCAGTGGATCCGAGCTAGGTGTTCCAGCGGGCTGCCAGATCCGATGATAGCTTTCGTGCCCTTGCTGAACCTGTTCCAAAGGTGGGCACCATAGCTGCCATTCACTTCCTCGAGCACCTTTTCGGTCATCGTTGGATCAAAGAACATCTTCCACTCGCCAAAAGAAACCTTGAAGAATGTTGACGAGCTAAGAAAGTTCACGAGCCGAGCATAAAACGGGGCATGGCGCAATTGAGTCAGCAACAATGGGCCGCACGATTGAAAGCTCCGTGGATCGTACTGGCGTGCACACGCCTTCATGAGCGCTCTCACAGCCGGATGCATCTTGCGGAAGAAAAGCACGCTGTTGGTCACATGCACTTCATCTTCCTCGAAAGCAACGGAGTTTTCTATTGGCTTAAGTGACTTCAGAACAATTATGTTTAAATCCAAGTAAACACCACCACGCTTCCAGATAATCGCGTAGCGAAGAAAGTCGCTCAGGTGTTCTACGAGAGAAGAGCTTTCACGTAGTGCTCGGCGATCTGAATACAGCCGCGACAATGGAGTGCCTGCGAGTTCGGTGCGCGGCCTTAGCCGTGCCGACGAAAAATTCGGCAGCTTTGAGAGTATGCGACGGTAAGCGCAAGAGCGAAGGTGTCGTCCGGTGTGAAGTAGGTGCACGGTGAAGTCGCCGTTGTGCCGGCTGGCTGACTCGATGCTGCAGGCTTGTCGGGCTGTTAGCTTTCGCCGGCCAGATGTTTCGAGGAACCATATATCGTGAGCTTCCCTGGCCGCTGGTTCTGCGGAGAGAAAGAAGAGGGACTTGGTGACTACGATGCGACTAACCTCAGTGGCGGTAAAAAAAACATTAATCTACCTCTGAATCCAAGACTTTCTTCTTTGTGGCTTATCTTTGTTACTTTGCGGCACTATGCCATTTTGCATAAACTTTAAAAAAATAATTCGCAAGAGCTTCACACCGCAAAAATGTACAAACTATGCAGTACAGCTGAGCGTTCGCTTGGGCTAAGAGTCATAGAGAAATATACTATATAAGAGGGACGGACCTCTGGAGCCTTTTTGTGGCCCAGCAATAAACTGTCTGACCAAACACTAGATGGCGTACCCATCCTCGCTTTTACTCTTTTGTTAAGACATGTATCCGCAGGAGGACATTGAATACCCAAGTTTGGCATAGATTTTATGCAAAGAAGAAATTTTATTAATTTGTGCAATTTTCCATACCCGCTTTACATCATGTCCCACTGAGGACATTCAGTGCATTGCAACAAAAAACAGTAAAGTATGACTAGAAAGTGTTGTCTTTCTGCATTTATTTTGCACGAAGGGGCACATTCATGTGGTTAAGATGTACTGTACATTTACTCTCTTCGCGGAAGCATGGGTGTGAGGCCTAGTGTAAAATACACTCATTTTCGGAGCATGAGGGTGCGGGTTCAAGTCCCAGCGTCAGAAAGAAGAGAATTTAGTTATTGTATTTATGCTGAAGACAATACCGGGTCTGACCAACCACTCGTGACGCTGAAAGCAGCGCAGTAGCTGGACCAGAGGTCCCTACGGGAGTGTCCGTTCTTTATGTAAATATGTTTCTCTATGTATAAGTTAGCTTCGGTGACGCGGGCGTTCTCGGACAAGCTGTAATATGATCTAGAGCTTCACGTCCCTAAACTACGATATATTGACAGACGTCGTATGGAGGGCCCCTGAAGTTCTGACCTGGTGTTCGTTAAAGTGCAGTGACATCGCACACTAGGCAGGTCTCTACATTTGGCTCCATCGAAATGCGACCACCACGGCCGGGATCGAACCCGTAACCTTCAAATCAGGGCCGAGCAGCGTAGCCACTACTCCGCCGACGCGGACTTTTCGAACAAGCAAGCGTCGGTGTTCCAAACTTGCAGCCCGCACCACTTCTCGGCGGCAAAACGAACTCTTATTTGTGAGACGGTGTGCCCTTACGTTGCCTATTTCGGTACTGAGTTGACCTGAAGTGCCGTTCCTTCGTGTAGCACCCTCTTTTAACAGACAGCTTTAAAGAGCTCGTTTCACCGAAATTCCGGCGTTGGCGTCGTTGGTTGACCGAAAAATCATCGTATTTGCATGACCGAAAAATCAGCCATCTTTGCGTGACTGCAAATAAAAAATTAAAAAGTTCTGGGTCTGTGGTGTTGGAACCCGGATTGTTTGCGGGGCAAGCGGGTGCCCTGCCACGCAGCCATACCCCTGCTTGTGAATACCGTGAAAATAGCTTCCTCTGCTTGAAAATGTAGTGAAAGTAATTTTCGTGCTTTACCAAACACAATGTCCTGTATACACGCTTCACAATTCACAACATGCAATATTGCCGTAATTATGCGTGGTACAATTGTGCATTGCAATCGGGATAACCAGAATGACTTCATCGGTTAAAGCCAGTCACCCACTAAAAAAGGCACAGACGCTGCTGCTTCCTTAAGGCCACGTAGTGGGTGCATAGCACGTTCGAAAAGATTTAATACACTAAGTGTTTCAAGTACGCACTAAGAATAGAATATCGCTATGGCGTACAACTTTCAAAGGCAAAGCTTAAGGGTCCCAACCACCCACCCTTTTTTTTTACTTAGTTTCGGATTTACTTGGCCTATAGCACTCTTCTTTTGCCTATTCCGATTGGTATGTACTTGACGTGTAGCGCTCTTTTTTACCCATGTTAGACAAAAAGGACGCACAGCCTCTGTGTGTGCCTATAGTACGCAAGTATGCTGCCAGCGCGTGTCGTCTGAGAGTGTCACCGGCAGTGCTTCTCACCGACGCTATGGAGTCAGTGATTCTTCGCGTTCACGGACTCCAGCTGTTCTGTGTGCGTACACTTAGAGCCAGGAGACTTTTTCGTGTGCAAGAAAGCGTGCTTTACAAAACAACGCATAATTTCGATCATCCAGGTGATGTCAGTGTTACGGTGTTTTACACACACGAACACATACAGACACGCACGCTCGCACACACACACTTCCTCGTTTCGCATCACACGCAAAACAACGTGTAATAGCGGGACCAAAGATATTTAACGGTCATCGCACTAGTCCTGCTCATTGTGCCACCAGACCGACAACTCCGCAACATTTTACTCAAAATTCTAGAACTATTTTAAATGCGAAGCATTTCTTAGCGAACTTCGGCTACATTGAGCGTATCTATCTATCTATCTATCTATCTATCTATCTATCTATCTATCTATCTATCTATCTATCTATCTATCTATCTATCTATCTATCTATCTATCTATCTATCTAGCCGCCTACGACTTTTAGCTATCCTGGCCGTTTCGAATATGGTAGCGATACCAAACTTGGTATGACATAACAACATGACTGCATGAAGAACACATTTGATTAGTAATAACTTCAAAATCATGACACGTATGTTATGAATGTCATGATTAACATTTCATGGTCCTGCACCTCTTGCGGTGGTTTCGTTCACATGGCACGTTGAAAAACTGGTATGGTATGGCATGATTGCATGGCGAACACAGGCGACAGAACCTAACATGAAAATCATGACATGCGTGTCATGTAACATGACTACATTCCAAGATCATGATGCGCTCGCGGCTGTTTCGCTAGCGTCAGATATACAAAATGTGGCATTATGTTACGTGAATGAATGACGAAGGTATGTGACTGGTGCAAACATGATAACCATGAGATGCGTGTCATGTAACAACATGACTACATGCCACGCTCATGATGCAGTGGCGGTCGTTTCACTAGCTTCACTTATACTAAATTTGGTATTACGGATCGTGAATGGATGACGAAGGTGTGATACTGGTGCTAAAATAACAAACATGAGATGCGTGTCATGTAACAACATCACTACATGCTACGCTCATGATGCGCTCGCGGCCGTTTTGCTAGCTTCACATGTACCAAACTCGGTATTACGCAACGCGAATGCACGAAATAGAACACTGACACATACAAACATGATAATCATGACATGCATGTCATGTAACAACACGACTACATGCCACACTGATAGTGCGCTCATGGCGGTTTCGCTAGCTTCACATGCCAAATTTGGTATTACGTGACGCCAATGGATGACGAAGGTATGGAAATGGTGCAAACATGATAATCATGAGATGTGTGTCATGTGATAACATGATTACATAACACAGTCATGGCGCCAATACATTTTAACGTGAAGCAGTGCACGTGCTCGCCGGCGTTCAATTCGTCGCGTCACGCCGGCGTTGCCACGCCAGGCGCCGGTCCTGCGATATGCTCGCAGGCACGCGCCGCGCTTCACTGCTTTGACGTATGTGCGTTTCAGCGCGTCCTTCATTCTCAGTCACGAAAAGAGGGAGACGCAGCGTTGTCTGGGTTACGCATCGGCGCGAATTGCAGCATGCCGCATTCCGCGCCGGTAGCTGTGCAACCACGCCGATGGACGCTGGTCGCGCCTGGCGTCAAACTATACAGTGCTCGCGTTTTGCTAACGTATAGCGACGCTGTGCCCAGCATGCGCGCGCGTCAACGCTACATTTGAGTATATTGGTCCCTTCATGATGCGCTCGCAGCCGTTTTGATAGCTCCACATATACCAAATTTGGTGTTACGTGACGTCAATGAATGCCAAATATATGGCTGGTGCAAACATGATAATTCTGACGCGCGTGTCATGTAGGAACATGACATGTCACGCTCATAGCGTGCTCGCGACTGTTTCGCTAGCTCCACATATACTAAATTTGGTATCACGTGACGTGAATAGATGACGAAGGTAAACGACACATCCAAACAAGATAATCATGACAGGGAAGTCATGTACGGCATCATTTACCTCCACCTTGTAACGTTGTGCTGACTTTAAAGTGGCGTATATCAACAATTCTCATTTGTGCTTCGCATATCATCAATTCCCACTGTACGTGAGATCTGCCAATTTTTTTCTGAGAGCTTAAAGGAACACGGCCATAGGGCTCACGCAGGACTGACGATTTCATGAGATGTTTTTGGATGTTTCTTTTACATATTACCAATGACCCTCAGTAATCCTCGATGTTTTGAGCCAATGAGGAATCACAAATCGGTGAGTGTCTTTTAATGACAGGTAGAGTTACTGACTATAATGTTACATGATGTTGGTCACATCTGCTAAAATGACTGATACTGTGTGTTTAGAAAAGCAGGTAATGATTTAGACTACTAGGTACTCTACTATGGGGAACAGATGTATAAGCAGACGTACCTGGTTGATACTCTTCGATACGATTGGCTAAATTGGGGCCAGTACAGGCTATAGCGCTTAATAATGCAAGTTCTAATGTACACTGCTAAAGGTTTTATTATGGAAGTTCCTATGTACTCTGCGAAAGGTTTTAACACCAGCATGGTCTCCATTGCATGTCCATCTATTTATGCGCTTGCTTCTTTCGCGCTTGAAGTACGTCCTTATGCCTATTCGGGGCTTTTAAACACGGGTACATTTTAGGACCAAATAATTTCTGAAAATCACTGTCACTTGAGAAAAGTATACATCTCTTGCGTACTGCCAGTTTTTAAATATGGGGCTGAAACGTGAAGCGTTACAAAGCAAAAAGTTGGATTACGCCGAGCACATTGCATCGTAAACTTGTAGGAATAACATTAACTGTTTAGTGAATGGCGGAATGAGTCAGAGAACCAAAGGGTTTGCCGATTTTCTAGTTGACAGCAAGTAAAAGCAATGGACCTAAGCTGGTCACGTAATACGTACAACACACATCCAGTGTACGAGCAACAGAATGGTCACTAATTGATGGGAAACACAGTCAAAGAAGGCAGAGAGTTGGATATCGTGACAAATTAAAAAAAAAACAAAGTTCGCAGGGATGAAACAAAATCAGCTCTTACAGGACTCAGCATGGGACATCGTTGGGAAAGGTCTCAAGTGATACTCGGGGTTTAACATCCTAAATTCACCGTATGAGTAGGAGAGACACCGTAGTGGAGGGCTCCAGAAATTTCGACCACCTGGTTTTCTTTAACCTGCACCCAAATCTGAGTACACGGGCCTACAGCATTTCCGCCTCCATCGGAAATGCAGCCGCCGCAGCCGGGATTCGATACCGTGACCTGCGTGTCAGCAGCCGAGTACCTCAGCCACTAGACCACCGCGGCGGGGCTAGGAAAAGGTCTTCGTTCAGCAGCTCGCTAAAACAGGCTGAGGATGGTGTTGAGCTTTACAGACGTTTTACAAAAATACTATAAAAGTAAAGCTGCTGTTTCTGCACTACAGTTCTTCGTCGAGGCGTCCGTACTTTGCCTCAAACGAAATGACCTGTTGCAACTAATTACATATTATCTGTTATTTACCATTTCAGTTATTGACCTGAGGGCAGTTAATGATTGAAAGTAGTAGCACATGGATATTTATGATATGCGAATTTTTTTGAAATCACACATGGTGCCCGTGGTTTGAGATATTTATTATTGATCATTACGGCAATATCAAAACTCATCGCGCCCAGCGCGCACGATATACACAGGGTCTGTTACACCAGACCTGAATTACGCGCGGCAAGAACTTCATGAAACGGAAGGCGCGTCATGACCCGAGCTGTGAAACAACAGGAAAAAGTATAACTGTATATCGAGGGTCGGACGCGACGCACGCAGAACCAAGTGGCCCGGCGTCCGAAGCTCCGGCCGAGAAGTGACAGCCGAGACGCGGACGGGAATTCTCCCTTTACTATTTACAGCATGCTATATACACTGGAAGAGCACCCGCTGGGGTGGCCAGTGAACTCTTTCCGAAACTGGAGCAGAAACCTATATACCACTGTAATGATAGGACTTAGCGCTATGTTTGTGTGCGTAAGTTTTCCTGTTGACTGAGAACCCGTTCGCCAGCATCATCTGTACATCCTGCAAAACGCACCATGGTGAGCCTTGAAACAAGATAAAGAGTTACACTGCCACTCACCGCTGTGTTGAATGGGAGCTTGTTTCTTGGCATCAACCATCATTAGCCACAGAACAACCGTGGTGAACAAACTGGCGAGCATCACGCGGGTAAATAGACGACGCCTCGGAATAGTCATTTCACTCTTGAAATAGTGAATCGTAGAGTCTATGGCGCGTACTTTCTAAACGGCGACAACGTTTTCTATCTTACATTAATGGCTTAGAACCTTGAGATAATAGCAGCGCAGAACCTGATGATGATGATGATGATGAATCCACAGACATGGCTCGTACCCACTCAGGGGGATCAGCCAAGAATCGATGACTTAATTAAGTTTTTTTTTAATATCGAAACCTCCCACCAGAAAAAAGAAAGAAAAAAAAGACACCCTAGTCAGAATGAAAGGAGTGCAATAGTTGCTTGTCACTCGTGCAGATAAGACAATTATTCATTACCTTGAATAAGAATCAGCATGGTTAAACAATGCTCTTGTGTTCGTTGGATATATTTTTTTGCATGGTTAATAATCACGCAATCAAAAGCTTAATTATTTTACTTTCATTCAGGTACTATCAAACTGCGTAGAAAACGTTCTCGTGGCTGAAGCCCAGATCGTAAGCACCGAAGGAAAGTATGTTTTCTATAATGAAATTCAACCCCAGGCTAGCGAATGGGAGGGCTAAGAATGTTTTCCTGAGCAATTTGTATCGGCGACATGATAAAAAATAGTGCTCTAGTGTTTCCAATTCTGAACAAAATATTCATAGTGGTGATATCGCCAGACCAGCCCTATGTAAATAGAAATTTAACGGGAGGACACGACATCGAAATCTGGTTATTATGGTTTCCAACTGTTTTGTAGGACACCAATGACTTTTCCATGGAAATCTTAAGTGAGTAAATTCTGGTGTTGACAATATTGCTTCCATAGCGTCTGCACTGAGCGCAAGCTTTCTGTATCTTGTCGCAGACCCTATCAGGAATGTCCTCGTCTTCTTCTGCCCTCTCCAAACGTGCCAGCTTGTCCATATTTCCTGCTGTAGAATTGGACTATCGTACATCAGCCGTATTCCCTGTCCTTGATGCTGCTTTTAAATTGAGCCAAGTGGCAAACAATGCTTCGAAGAACAGCTGAACGCATTTTAATGTGAGTGCCCCGAATGTTTTAGGAGAAGGGTGAAATCGTAAAGAGCCTGCTTGCAATGTAAAAAAAAAAGCCCTAGAATCGTTGAAAAAATGCTGCAGGCATTTCTGACGAGGGAGGAAAAAGGCGAGCTGAGCTTAGGCGAAAGCGGAGGAAAGGCGAGCTGAAGCCACCCCATCCGCTATTAAAGCCCATAGTTCGTTTGAAGCTGCACACAATTTTCAAGAGGCACGCGTTTTCAAGGGTTTGGTGTGTGTCTCATAGAGTTTCCTAATATACACTAGAGGGAACTCTGGTGCTAGTGTCGATGGGAGCTGCAACGCGCGGTGCTTCAGCGAGCATGGGAATGATGGGCAGTGCACAAATTTGTCTAATCTTCGTCATGTGGCCTACTTTTGGCTCCGTGTGTGTTCGTGTGGATTGGACCTATTTTCTTACGAAACAAATATTAGCAAATGTTCAGTGGTTGCGCTTCACCGTCTTATTCTTTTAGACTTACCTTTCAAATCGGGTCACGCGGCTAAAAGGGTTGAATTTTTCCTTCAAAACAAAGCCGAAACACAGCAATAAACGAAGCCGCAAGTACGACTCGCCTCCCGCAAGTAGGAACATAGGCAAATGTGTGAACTACCCATCATTCCCATGGTCGCCGTACGATCGCAGCGCCAGAGTCCCCTCCAGTTAATTTGAGGAAACTTTATGATACGTCCTATTCATGGGTGGATGGATGCTATGTATACGAGCGTGCCCTCTGTAACTGGAGTGGTGACATGCGTGCCACCACATTTCACAAAAAATTTAGATGATAAAAATAAAACTCCTTCCCTGCTTTAATGGAAAAACGTCTTTATCTTTCCCACTATTTATTTTTGATTATTCTCGCTCGTTCTCTGCCACTAGCCATCTCTTACTTATTTCTTATTCTGTCGCGGACGTGTTCAAGCCTTTCAAAGAGGTATCTAAAACCGAAGGCTTCGTGTAGGCTCCTACCCAAACGTCCACCTGCTTGGATATCTTAACATTCAGGCTAACCTCCCTGTCCTTCCTCATTTATTCCTCCTCCTCCAATCAGCGTCGTTTCCTTATCTTTACCGCTCTATGTGCATTGTTCTTCTTTACTGAATATCGCTTTAATAGCTACGCATTTTAAGGCAGCCTGATATCACATCAACCAGTAAAGTGCTTTCTCTTAAATTATTATAAAATGTCTACCTCCTTATCTAGATTTTGCCCTCTTCGTTAATTACTCATAGCCGGTCTTGTTTCCATCCCTGCCACCCAGTAAACCCTCTTCGTCTTTCTGACATGACACTGAGCGGCTCTTTGTGTCCATATCGCTTACACTGCTAGCCGTATATTTATTGGTGAGCATGCATTCTTGTTCTTTTTTTCCACTATGTGGCAATGCCCTTACTATGCAAATAACACAAGACTTTCTCTGCCAATTTACTATGTTTCGCCTCACCGCGGTTGTATAGTGGCTAAGGTACTCGGCTGCTAAGCCGCATGTCGCGGGATTGAATCCCGACTGCGGTGGCTTCATCTTCGATGGAGGCGAAAATGCTGTAAGCCCGTGTGCTCAGATTCAGATGCATGTTAAAAAACCCCAGGTGGTCGAAATTCCCGGAACCCTTCACTACGACGTCTCTCATAATCATATGGTGGTTTTGGGACGTTAAACCCCGCATATCAATCAAGCAATCTACTCTCCTTCATATTTATTCATTAGCCTCTCTCAGAACCTTATTCTGCTTTGAGCTCGCGTCGCCTAGTAGAGGGACTTTAGCAGAGGTGACGCAAGGGTGCTTAAAGGCGTTGCGGTCATGGCTTCGAGTCGCCAAGAACGAGCAAAATGGAACAAACTTGACAGACGCATGATATTGGAGTGGCAAAGCACGTCGATTGCATCTCGGTTAGAAGTCATTCAGACGCACGTGTCACGTAATCAGTCGTATCGAAGCTTTTATAGGTGTCCCACCTCCACCCCTCACTGAACCAAGGTAGACCGACGACTCCAACTCAGAAGGGAGCGCTTGCAGCGGCATGTTTCACTGCAAATGCCGTCGAAAGCCGATAGGCTTGTGTCTGGACAGAGTGAATAAAACTTTCATTTGATGTTCTGAGCGTGAAAATCTGTGAATGGGATTCTGGAGACGCTGCGTGAAACATGATCGCCACCTAACAGTAATCTTGAAAAACGATAGGATGGCCTCTGACATAGCGATCGCGCAGCGGGTGCGCGTTATCTCGGAGGCCATTATTTGTAGAATTCAAGGCGATGGTATAGGGGCCACCATTGTATCGTCTAAGCAAAGCGCAAGTAACACCCACCTTTTCGTGCATAGCCTTGCATTGTCAGCGCAGCGTTGAATACTTACGTAGGCCCTTTATAGTTAAAAGAAATACGTTTACAGATGTTGACGTGTGGGGGTTGTGCCTCAGGTATGTGCAATATTTCTTTTTAATCGACAATACTCACCAGCATTAACGCCGAGACACGATCAATATTAGTGGGTGCTGCGGATTTGGTTGGATTTTAGCTGTTTCAGTTGACGCACGGACAAGTCAACCGACAGACAGGCCTAAATTTTTACTTTGATGTATCCCAAGAAAGACTACTTTCTAACAGCATCAAATACAGGTGCCACGTCGAGCAAAGGACCTTGTTATAAATGTAATAACGACGTTGTATAATATTAAAATAACAAATAGTTGTCACACAAAGCGATTTGCGCAAGAGGGGGGTAGTTCAACACTTGTAACCACTATAGAAGGCGCGGTCATAGCTTTTCATTTTCATCAGCCACAGCGCCAACAGAGGGCGCACAATGTATTAGATATGCGTTTCAGGTACCTCGACTATCTGCCGTAATAATGAATAATAACATAGTGTGTTCCCCACTTCATGAAAGTTAGTGCATGGTTTAGGGCGCAGTGGGTACCTTGCATATGTAATTGTTTTCGTTGCTCAAATGTTGTCTACAACTTTATCTGAAACACCTTTTTAGCTTTCGCTATGACCATGCTGCGTATTCTGACGATTTTACTTCTTATGAAGTTTTTTTTTTCGTTCAATAGTGGTTACAGACACTGGCGGTGGCGGACAACTACGGCGCCAAAAGGGCCCTTATTTGAATCTCTCAACAGCTTTCACTGTAAAACAAACGTGAAAAACGTCTGAAGCATTCTCCCCTCTTGGCGTAACATAACTGCCTCTGAAATAGCTTCAGACCAACCACTGTGACATGGGCGCTTGGGAAGGTGTTTCAAACGAACTCTACACAGGCTTTACGTTGTGGAAAAACACGCTATCAGTGTAATAGAGCGTTTCAAGGCATCGTAATCAAAAGCAGGTGTCACACAATGTAAATGGCGTAACGAGTTAGTCATTGAGTGCTTCCAACACATTACAAAAGACTCGACCGAAATTCCTGATCGTCATCAGCCGCAACATCAACAAAGTGCACTACGTGTCTTACAGGTGTGTAGCGGGTAACGCGCTTTTCCGAAGACCGAATAAAGCATAGTGGACGCTTCCTTACTTCTCAAAAAGTATTCATGATGTAGTGGGCGACATGCAAGTGTACTTGGTATAGTTGCTCCAAGGGTGTCTATAAGAAAGGTTGATCCTGTTTTCGTGGCGACTGGGCTGCGGGCTTTTTTTCTTTTCAATTTTAATGAAGTCAACATATTTGTAAAAATGCCTAATGTTTATGGCACATGTGTGAATCTCATTATAACATTTTTTTTTATTTTGCATGTTTTTTATGTATAGACACTTCGTAACTTGGTGCGACGCAATTTTCTACACCACGCCACAGTCTGCCCTTCTGTCTCTGAAATACGGATTCGCATGTCACCCGCACGTTTCTTTTCAATGAAGAAAGAATACATACCTTCTTGTGGCATAATCA